TTTGAAAAGTAAAAGATTTTTTTTGGACATCATCATATATTAGTTTGAATTGAAAGAATTTACTATAAACTTCTGCCTAGTCTTGGTCAATTTTATGTTGTCTTTTTGCATTTAGCAGTGATTGATTTAAAGTTTTCTATTCAGCTGGATTATATGTTTGTAACTTTGTTGTTACTAGTGAAACAGCTAGAGGAAACAATTCTTTATTATCAATTCGTCTAATATAAATGCTTGTATGAGTGGTTTTCTTTTTTTTCGGAGGCACAGTAGTCATCATATGAAGAAAGAAAAAACAGATGTACATAAGAAGATTCTATGCTTTTTTTATATATTTTATCTATGCATTGTTAATCATAACTATAACACCTACATTAGAACCTATTATTCCTAATAAAACACCCTATTACTAAATAAGGTCTAAATTAGGTAATACAAGTCCTATAAGGGAGTAGGCTCCTACGTCAGCTTAAACTGACTCTTTTTTAGTAAGGTAGCGAAGAAGAATATTGCGAGCACCATTAATATTCCTATCGAGTTCTGTTTTACATTTAGGGCAACAAAATACTTTAGATCCACCTAGCTTGTGGTTGACGTAACCACAGAATCTATAAGTTTTACTTGTATATTCTTCTGTACAAATAATTGTTTAACACCATAGATGCTCATGTGCTTTATGGGTCAGATGTTGCCAAAAATAAAAATATGACCACGTACACATAACTCGAGCTGTCTTAAAACCAATACGTCATTGCCCACGTCTGATCATTCTTTGAGTATGAAATTCCGGTAATATTATTATACGATAATTTTCGCAAAGCCATTAGTCAATTTACAATGACATTCATGAACTAGACAGTGGATCCTCTTATGAATACGCAACATAACATGTCGTAGTCTATAATTAAAATAAAAAATAATCAGTCAAAATTATAAATAATATAAAACTATAAATCTATTATTAAAAACTAACCTGTAATATTTATGTTTGTTTCCTTTCCATGAATCATATCTTGTTTACTTTGAAGTTTGTCATATATTGACAAAGTCGATAAATCCGATTGATATCATTTTTTCTCTATTCAATAGCCATTCCACTTGGATCATAACTGGTTATAAAAGTATGTACACCTGGATCTAGTGCAATTACTCCCGATCCACCCTTTTTAATAGTAGTTAATATACGTAAATAATCTAAAAAAATTAAAAAATAAAAAAATTAATTCAAACCTTTTTTTGATTTTCTGAAAATAAAGGACCTTGGTTTTCAGCCCGTATTTCAAGTAGCTCAGGTATACAAAAATAAAATTCACCAAGACGGTTTATAAAAAGGCAACTATTATAATCAAGTTTTTTTTGGAAGAAATTCTGCTAAGTGCATTTTATGAAGAAATAAGAATTCGCTACTAGATTTATCTCAATGTTTAGAAAGTATTGCAATTGATTGTTGTAGATCTTTTGTAGAATTGAACTTTATTTTAAAGTTTTTACGTTTTGAAGCAAAATTAGACATATATCCTTTAGGCCACGCAAAGTTGATTTTTTGTTTTACATTATATGGTATTCAAAATGTCGGGCGGGCGGTGGATTTTTTTTTTTTTTTTTAGTTTATTGTAAATTAATAGACTTACGTTCATATCTAAGACCATACAAAGTTAATTTTTCATTTCACGCAATATGAAATCAGAAAATTTGATTAGTGATCAATTTTTTTTCTTTTGGTCCTATCAGATAATTTCAGTCTCCGTCGGAAAACCCCAGAACCTTTTATTGAAAAAATTAAATAGCAAAAATGAAATAATTAACACAATTGGGGTTTCAAAAAAAAAAAAATTTCGAAAAATTAAAAAAATCGGTCAGTGGGTAATGCAAAACGAAAAATTAACTTTGCGTAGCCTTAAGTAAATCATTCATTGCTTTATCTCGAATATTATAAAGCGTATCTAAAATTCACTTAAGTTCTGGTTTATCCTTAAAGTTTATAGTATTAAGACATTAAGCCCGTAAATTCTTCTTTTTTCGTTTGACACCTTCTTTTTTGACCGTGATAAGATATCGATTGTATGTTCACCGAGCTGTTCGTGTCCATTTCCTGAGTTTCAATTGGTTATCCTTATTGGGAAAAAGGTGAATACGTCATACCTTGCTTGCTAGAGATTTCATTACTACCTTCTTGGAACTTTTGATTCGCTTGGTGGTCTTTTTCTTCTTTTGCGATTGGCAGTACAGCATAATCCATTATGTCACGCTACAAATACTGTGACGATTGAAAGTAAGTCTTCTGCAAGTTCTCCAGTTTTGTTATTATTAATACAAATATCTAAACTGAATACCACAAGCCATGTTCTATTTTTTTCAAAGATTCACTCTACAAGTTCAGATCCAAAGCGATACAATCAGTCTTTTCGGGTAACCGCCACTTCTTGGTCAAAAAATTAAAATATAAATATATGAAATTAATTTATATGTACCTAATAGATTGCTTGTATCTCGATCTCTTAAATGAGCCTCTATTATTCATTCGATACATTTATTAATTTAAACTAATATTTCAATTCAAAACAAATATATATTACCTGAACTGCTATTGCTTTCAACATGTTCA